GACATGGATATCTCCTCTGACTGGGACCTTGTTCCGATCCATTGAATGTTTCCGTACACCACCAAACAAAGCCAATGTTATTCCAGCTGTTGAGAAAATCACACTTCACATAAACACATGTTTCTAAGTTCTATATATCATCCTTAATGGGACCAAAATGAATTGGCAACAAGAGAAAATAGGCAGTTCATTTCTTACTATCCCTTAAACTCGCCATGCTATTTGTCATTAAATTATGTCAATCATGGTTTCATTTATGACCAACACACATCAGTTGACAAATTTTACTGTTGATAAGAAAATTATGATATAAATTTTTGAACAGCAAGTCATTACTTCTTTTTTCAAATTGGAGTTTGATAAAGCAGTACAAATGAAAAGGAGAAAAAGGAAACCCTTTACTTACGAGATCAGTGAATATTATAAACATTTTAAGTGAATATGTCTGCAATTATAATAAATTTGAAGAATTTTAAAGAAAAACAGTGCAAAGGGGGTAGCACACAAGATATACCTTTCACAAGCTCATGTCCATAAATGGATGGACAAATGGATTGAAGTATTTGCCGAAAGACATCTGAACCATGTTCCCCTTTGAATTTCACAATAAATTCCAAATCCCTTGGAGAGAATGAGTACAAATCAACCAACTTTGTGGCTCTAGCATTACTATTAGGATCCTGTAAATCCTCGGAAATAGACTGTGACTTGGAATTTTTAATTGAAACTGCTTCTATGTACAAATAGTAGAATCCTTGATTTCTGCTTTTCGATTTCCCTGAATCACAAGTTTCCTTCAAGCTGTATTAGCAATAGGAAATTGTTCAACATCTGTAAACATCAGTTTTGGCAACCAAATTTCTTTGAAGCTCAGCAACATGTTAACCCTTTAAAAAACATCTTATGTTTGGTATTCTTAATGAGTTTCAGGATCCACTTGTTACAATGAATTCAAGGAGAATTTTTAATGCGTGAATGTCCTTATGACATTTTCATGCTTGCTTCACATAAATATCATTGATTACTTATTTCCTAATAGCATGGGAAGGTCAAAACTCAAAAACTTTCACCATACCTCCGCCAATATCCATGTAATTGTTAATAACTCTTATAATTCCCATGACAGTCACCACATCACCAGGGATGCAGGCATCAACAAGATCTTCAGTTAACTCGCACTCTACCGTGCGTGGCACCCGACCTTCTTCATGATCTTCAGACTTCAATAGCTCCTGTAGCCTGGGAGAAGAAAAACAGGAGAAAAGACAGGAAACGAGATAGTTATGGAATCAACATACTGGGGTCATGATAGAAATGAAAATGAAGAGGTTAGAATGATCACCTTATCTTCTGAAAATCTATTGCCTGGGCAGTAGATCGAACAGGAACAAAAGTTTTGCTCTTGCAACCATGTAAATCACATTTTGATGGTGGTGAAAATTTTCCATCAGGAAAAACGCGGGTCATGGTGGCTTTACATTTTGCACAGTGAAAATCCAATTGTACCACTAAAGGCCTAACGGTGCTAACTTTTACCACAGTACCACGCACAGATACAAGCTTGTCTGCCAAAACATAATCAAATGCCATGTTTTTTAGAATTCTTTATAATAAACCAATTTCAATAGGGAATTGAAGAATAAAGCAACTATAAGTAAGTTGAAAAAAGGATACCAATATATGCAGCCTTTAAGTTCTTCAAAGCAATCATAGATTCAGGGTAGTTGTGTAGGCGGATATTTATCTTCATTCCTTTCTCCAAGTTGTTGTCCCCTTTGGACAAGAGAACCTGCTGGCACTGTATCTCCTGAGTTACATTAAACCTGAAAATATAATACTTAACTCCATTCCATCACCATTTTCCATACCTTGTGAACTGCGGCACTCATGCATAAGAGAGCCATTTTAGGTTTCTCCTCCAGTTTTGCATAAAACTCCTCAAGATTACATATTTTCCGTAATTTTTGAAAATCAACTGATAAAGATAAGACAGCACAATCATCTTGTACCTGTTCAAATCAATTTTCCACTTAATCAAGAAAATCATTAATGATACTAAACCCTAAACTGGCTACAATTTTGAACAATTAATACCACATGAGATGAGTAAAATAACATTTGTAATAGGGTTATTCCATCATACATTTCCAATTTTCTGTGAGGGCAGGCATAGAATTCCATTTTTAACATTAAACAGGTTCGAAACAATAACATCAAGGGAAACAGCCTCAAAAATCCCAGATAAACAAGCTTTTATAAGATTCAGAGGATAAAGATATACCAGAGAAGCGAGATTTCGCCCCGGAGAAGTGGAGAAGAAGTGAACGAGCTCAGCTATAAGCAGCAGCTCCTCTGCGTCGATCAACGGCTCATCTCCGGGAAAATAAACCGACAATTCATCCCCGATGTTGCCCGTACAGACTGTACCGTACTCCATAGTCGCACTCCCTCCCTGAGTGACAGACATTCCGACCGACCGTCGGCGATTGTGCTCGTTCAATGCTTCCCAAAATCCACGTTTTTGGCGGGACAGCAGTATGTGAGCAATGCGAGGGAAAAAATAGGGATTTGTAGTTGAAATTATTTAAATAAAAAAAATAAAAACATATTTATTAACCACTGTATATAAAAAAAAATATTTTAAATTATGTATTTTAATTATTAATTAATGTTAAAAAATAAAACATTTTATTTTTTAAAATAAAAATTAAA